CTGGGCGTGGGGAGGCTAGAGGCAGATGGTGGGGACTTTTAAAGGGTACTTGTGTTGCATTTGGAAGCTGATGATGATGTGACTGCTTGTGCTGAGTCACCAGAGGCAGGCTGGGGAAGCACCTAATTCCAAATATCCCCTACATCTAAAAGCACCCAGAAGCTGATTGTATGACAGAACAATGAGCCTCTTAGACCCTGCAAAGAGCTGGGACTGAGGGGCAGTGCCACAGGCAGAGGGATGTATATGACCCCACTCTCCTTGATCTCTGTACTTGTGTGTATGCATATGTATTTGTGTGGTGTGTGTGTGTGTGTGTGCTCATGCATGGATTCATGTGTGTGCATACAGGCATGTACATGCCCTGTCACATGTGTGGGTATGTGAGACATTCAGCCATTTTTTTAAAATTTTAAAATTTTCTTTCATTATTTTATGTGTATGAGCATTTTACTTGTATGTCAGTATATCCGTCCTGGGACTGGAGTTATGGATAGTTGTGAACTGCCACGGGAGCACTGGAAATCAAACCTAGGTCCTCTGCAAGAACAAGTGCTCTTAATTACCGAGTCATCTTTCCAGCCCTCATTTCTCTTACAAACAGGCTTAATGGCTGTGTATCTGCTTTATACCCTGCCCCCTGCCTCCAGTCTCTTTTGTTAATTCTTTGTTAAATGAACTTGTTTGACCAGGTAGAACTAGCTTGCTACAATTCCTGAAATGCTTAAATATATAAACATGAATAATTCTGCATTCTCCCTGTCTTTCTTTTCAAGTCACTTTCTAAATTAGCCAGTTGGGAGAAGACTCTAGGGTTGGATCTTAGGCAATGAGGAGCAGCCATGCTACTCCTTACCTTAGGGATAAAAGACAGAGGCCATCTGGGCCATGTGTGCTGCTACTTGCTAGCTTGGTTTAGGTCACCCTTTTTATGAAAAGAAACAGCCTTACCTGATAGTTTCACTTTGTTCATGCATTCCTTTGTGTGACATTGAGGTTATTCTTTTCCAACAGGGGTCAGAAGACAGACAACTTTGGATGTCAGTCCTTGCCTTCTACCTCAGTTTAGGACAGGATCTTTCTGATTTTTTTTTTTTTCTGCTGCATATGCTAGGTTAGCTGACCTGCTAATTGGCCCACAAGCTTCTGGGGTTCTCCTATCTCTGAGTCCATCTCTCTCGTAGGAGTGCTGGGATTACATATGCTTGCCCTAGGTGAAAGGTTCAGGCATTATGCTGACCTGCCCCTGTTACCTGGTGGAACAGGCAGTACCCTGGTCAGCCCAAGGTTCCATGGGAACTAAGTCTGCACGCAGGTGCAGAGGACCCCTTTAAAAGATAAGTCCCTGCCCCTTTACGCGCTCTGTTCCCTCTCTCTGTTCCCCTGCTCTACTCTGTCTCCCACCTATGCTCTCGCTCTGTCTCTCTATGGCGACCAGCCGTGGCGGTCAGCCATTTACCCTGTTCCTCTTCTTAGTCTCCCCATTCTGCCGGGCCTTATAATAAACTTATAGTCTCATGTCTCATGTCTCAGCATTTCTCTTTTCTTCTTTTTAAACAAAAGAATAACACTAGGCACCTGACTTTTATATGGATTTGGGGAACTTGAACTCAGGTCCTCATATTTGCACAATAAGCACTTTTACCCACTAAGCCTTGAGTCTCATAGCGTGGATCACACATTAACTAAGCCTGCTTCCTTACAAATCATCGTCTCCCTTTGCAAACCTTGTAGGTGCTTTGCATTGTCTGGCAGGACTGAAGCACCTTCAGACCCCCTCCCCCGGCCCCCACACGGCTTCTTCTGGTATCAGTCAATCTCCTGTTTGAAGGATGATTTTGACTTAACATTCCCCTTTCTCAAATACCTTCCCCTTCTCCATGAAACCTAAGGTACTGAAAACCAGGAGAGAGAAAGCACAGTGGGGTGTGAGGTTTGCTTAATCCTAAAGCAGGTCAGAGATTGAGTCTCACTCCATTGGTTGGGTTTTTTTTTTTAAGATTTTATTTATTTATTTATTATGTATACAGTCTTCTGCCTGCATGCCAGCAAAGGGCACCAGATCTTATTCAGGGTGGTTGTGAGCCACCATGTGGTTGCTGCGAATTGAACTCAGGACCTCTGGAAGAACAGTCAGTGCTCTTAACCGCTGAGCTATCTCTCCAGCCCCCATTGGTTGGGTTTTTACCTCACAATCTGATGCAGTTGTTGATAGGATACTGGCGCTGGGCATCTAGCCATCTTACTCTGGCTAGTGAAGAGTGCCTTAAGCTCTTGAGCCAAACGTATGGTCTTATCCACAGTGAACATTTTATACTGGACAATAGTGGGAAAACAAACAAACAAACAAACAAACAAAAAACAACCCATCAGTCTTGGTAATGCCTATGATGGAGCCTGAAAGTATTCTTTAGGGTCCTTGCCTGTTCTCTTCCTTGAATAAGGGCAAAACTACCCCTGATGATTTTCTTAGCTAAATGGCCAAAAGGATTTTAGGAGTACCAACAGTCCCTTTCATATGTCACAGGGGCTGTCTCATCCACATAGCATGGATGCACTCCTAGGATGCACAGTTAGGTTTCTGAGTCAGCATAAAGAGACACAATAGACGGTGACCAGAGTCTGACCTTCAACAGATGGGACTGTGTTTATTACCACACACAGCAAGGGACGACCTTTCTCTTTCAGGAAATTGAGGAGTCTGCCAAGAAACAAAGCTACCTGCAACCCTCTGTAGGGGTGTGGTGAAGGGCTTGGGACTGAGGAGATTGTTATAGCCATAGCCCACATTTCTCTTCTGCACTCTATCCTTCCTGAAATTGTTTGTCCAAGTGAGACAGACTATCTTGGGAGACAGACTGTCTCAATAGCTGTCCTGGAACTAGCTCTTGTAGACTAGGCTGGTCTTGAACTCACAGAGATTCACCTGCCTCTGCCTCCCGAGTGCTGGGATTAAAGGTGTGCACCACCAATGCCCAGTTTAGACGTTCCTTTTTTATGCTAACCAAAGGCTGAGCAAGGTCAACTATAATCTTATAGGAACCTGTGGAGGGTGTTTGATTGCACTGTGACAACTCTGAGACCTTGTTAATAAAGTTAACCTTGAATCAGAGGTTGGAGCCAGAGACTAGTTGACAAGAATCATTCATAGAGTGTACGGGAGACCAGACCAGATAGAGAGGCACAGGAAGGAATAGGGAGGGACTTGGAGATTTGAGGACTTCCCTTTGGATCTGGGAAGTGTGGAGTGGAGAGAAGATCAGCTGGTCACTCCTCCACTGCTTCTTTGATCTATCAGGTTTTCACTCCAATATCTGACTTCTGAGATATTAGTAATAGAACATAGATACTCTCAACAGGAACCCTGTTTTACAACTGAGACATTCACTATTACACAGTCGCCAAATGGCTTTCTTATTTTCTGAATCTTTGCTGTTGGTTACGTTTCATTGTGAAACCTTAGATCAACCCTCTTCTGAGGTATTCTGACTGCTGCTCCTCCCTCATCACCCCTGTTGGCAGCTCTAAGAAGCTAGCTAGCACGGTTGGTGCTTCTAAACCCCTAACAGCAGTTAGGGTGACCTCTAAGAGTGGGGAGGGGGTGAGGAACTAGAGTTAGAATCCCTGGTAGGTAGAAAGACAGGGAGAGGGGCCATAACTAGGTAATAAAAATGGTGAGCTTTCAAGATGCCTGTCTTCTCCCTCACTGTCTTGATCTAAGACAAAAGTCTGGGAGCTTAAAACAAAGGCCTTGTAGATTTCTTCTCCTGTAGAGCCTCTACAGACAGGATGGCATGACACGTTCAAGACCACATCAGGACATGCAACAGTTATGGATCACCCACCTATCCTGTCAACCTTCAAACTGACCAACTCTAAGTTAGGGGAGGAAACCCTTCAAAGATTAAACAAACTCCACTTACAGACAAGAGAAAGAATGAAAAGGTATAAAAAGTATTTCTGCATTGATTTTGTGTGTGTTTATGTGTGTGTGTGTGTGTGTGTGTGTGTGTGTGTGTGTGTTTCCTCACTCCTAATAAAAGCCTTTCGAAACCAGAAACTGAATGAAAGAAGAAATAAAAGGAGGAGGACATGACTGCTCCTAAAGTTTGGAGAAGGTTTTTATTGTAGATATAAAGGAGAAAGCAGGCAGAGGGGAGGGTCCAGGTTGAACATGACCGGTACCCAGGTTTCTTGGGAAAGTTTGGGAAGTGTTCTCTTGTTGGAAGAAGTATGTCACAGGAATGGGCTTTGAGAATCTCAAAGCCTTGTACTATTGCCATTTCATTCTCTCTACTTCCTGCTTGTGGTTCGAGAAGTACGCTGCTCGCTCAGCTTCCTGCTCCAGCAGCCAGGTCCGTCACTTGTTGTCACACTTCCCCACCATGAAGGACTCTTATCTCTCTGGAACTGTAAGCCTAACTGACTCTTCCTTCCTCTGTAAGTTGCCCTGATCATGGTGCTTTACCCTAGCAACAGAAAGGTACCGAAGATACACCCTTAAGGCTCAGCATCCTATCATGAAGATACCTGTGTAATGATAAATCTTTCTGCCAGCGGCCTGTGCCCCACTGCCACATGGGCGCCCAAAATAACAAAAGAGACTTATATTAGGTACAATGCTACTGGCCAATAACTAGGATTTCTTACTTGCTAGCTTAGTCTTAAATATCAACCATAATTATTAATCTATACATTTTATAAGACTTATCGAGGACGCCGGCCTTAGTGTCCTGTCTTCCAGGGGATTACATTGTGACTCCACAGAGAAGAGAGGAGGAGGAAGTGGAAGAGAGTGACTTCCTGCTTGTCCCTGCTTATATTCTGAGTCTGCCTGCTATGTTACTTCCTGCCTGGATCACAAGACTTCTTTTTACTACATTTCCCAGAAATCTCCTCGATTCCTAGTTCCACTTATCTTGCTCCCCTATTGGTCAACAGTGCTTTATTAAGCAACCAATAAGACAAACATATACACAGAAGGACCTCCCCCATCATACCTGCACTTCCATGTTCACAATAACCAGGAAATGAAATCAGCCTGGATGCCTATCAGCTGATGAATGGATCATGAAATGTGGTACACATTTCATGTGGAGTTCTATTCAGTTATAAAGGAAGATAATTTAATCTTTGTGATCTAGTTTTTTTTTTTTTTGGCATTTAAGTGGAGTTACTCCACATGGGGACACCGATACTACAAGAAGACATGTTGTATGGGATACATGACTGGGGTATCCCCTACAACATGGGTTATTAAACAAAAGCTTCAGGGCAAGGTATGCGGTATCTCCTAATGAGTTATGGTCAAGGAGGCCTCAGAAGCCACCCAAACAACACAGACCATTGCTAATATTCTTGGTTACACATCATAACTAAATGGTAAACTCTATTGCTGAAGGCACCACACATTTTGGTTGCAGGATATAGAGGAATCAACCCCGAACCGACTAGGACTAACTTCCTGCTGGCTACCTTTCAAGGAAGGTGTTACACTGGGGAGAAAAGGATATTGGTGGCTTTACCTGATGCTGGACCCCGTAATACTGACTAACAGGCAAGATGTGCCCCCCCCCATGCAGTAGTGATGTGAATGTTTCGGGTAATCAGCCACTTTCTTATTGGACTTGAAGCCTGCTTCACAGCAGGGAATCCACACCTGGTACTGTAATCCTGTTCAAAAGCCCAAAGCTAGGGAGGCCCTTACTTAACAGGAATCTACCACTGCCATTGGCTGAATGGAAGTGTTGCCAAACTGCTTTCTAAATATTTATGCTTGTACACATGGATCAGTGCTGCTCCAATCTCATCAGAGAAAGGTCTCTCTGTAGTGGACCTCGGTTAGTGGAGACTCACGGCAGAGAGTAAGCGACTGTTGAGTGTTCAGCCTTAAATGGGACATCTCTATCAACCCCAGTGCTTCCCTCTACCCTAAGAAGAGAGGGCTGGAAAGAAAGTAAGAGCTGTAGGAAGGGGAGGAGCATTGTGAAGTGCTGTCTTCCAGACACCACATGACTGATGCACTTGTGAACTCACAGCAGCTGTGGTTATGCGCAGATCTGCACAAGGTCAAGCCAGGCAAGGTTCCAGCAGAGCCTGGGAAGGGGCTCATGAAGCTCCACCCCCATTTGAGGAGCTCTTGGCAGCTGACACCTGCTGGTGGGGGAGAGTCACTTTTCTTCTGGAGTGTGGCCTCTGGTAGGTTGCCCATGCTCCAGTGGACTCTCACACCTGTGTGCATGTAGGATGAACTAATTGGATATAGTGAGGTATTAAAAATTTAAAAAAAAAAAAAGGGCATGAAGGTGAAAAGCGAACTTGTTTGCAAGGGGTCCAGGGAAGAGGTGTGTGTGTGTGTGTGTGTGTGTGTGTGTGTGTGTTTTATTAAGATACATTGTATACATGCATCCAATTGTCAAAAACTAAATATAATTAAAAAAATAATCTTGAGATGGAGTTTATAGCAGAGAAAAAGCCACCTGGGGGGGGAGTAAAAAAAATCATTCCCCACCCACCAGGGACTTGCAGAGCCCCAGATAATGAGGAAGATGTTAAGT